GAACAAGCAGGGGGCCTTTGTTCCACCTCCGAAAGGGAGGGCGACGGAGTTTCCGCGCCACTCTCGGCCACCTCTCTTGCCTCCGCTCTCCCCAGGCTCTTCCCTGAGCATCTGTCTCCAAAACCACTGGCCGCCGCGGCTGGATGGGGGGGGGGGGAGCAGTTTACCGCCGCCTTCCCAGTGGAGTCCAAGGCGTTCCTCTCGGCGCCGCAACTGCCTGGGGGCCTCCCAGGACTGCCGGCGCCAGATCCATTGTAATTTGAGGCCTGCAGCTCTTGAATATGTTTTAGGGCTGGAAGGTAACTACCTTCTCCCATTGCCCTTTAGGTCTCCGCTTCGTGTCTTCTGGGATCTTCGTGCTCTTCAGAGCACAGCCAGCACGTCCTGCTCAGAAGGCAGGGCCGGTAAGACTGGGGATCAGAGGATAAGCCCCTCCCCTCTGGGATCAAAGTTTGCCAGCCCTGCCTACGGAAGGGGGAGGTGCTTTCCCAGGAGTAAGGAGTCAAGGACTGCCCCACTCCTGGACCACCGGAGAAGGAACACTTTTTGCTCCAGTCTTCCCTCCCTTCTGATGCCCAGCTGACTGGAGGTGTGGCTGGCAGGTGCACTGAGGAAGAAGGAGAGGACTGAGAAAAGGGGGGGGGGGAGGAAATGGGCGGAAAGGGGAAAACTGGATGAGGACAGATGAGCATTCCCTCCCTCCCAAATTTTGCAAGTCCCACACTTGTTCACTTATACAGTACAATGCTTTTATCGTATCTTTAGTAACATTATAACCACCTGTTAGAATTAGGTGTTGTGCTAGGAATAATCAGAAAATATGGTAATTAAAATACAAACCATGGAAGGCTGAAAAAAAATTCTGGCCCTCCTAATTTTGGGGTTGGAGCCCACAGCCAAAGAAAAATCGTCAAGATACTATTTTTCTTCCTACTGCAGGACAATTCAAGAACGTTACTGTATACAACTTTAATACAATTATCCTGAATTCAAATCACAGCTGCTCTTATCACGATACAGGCCTACTGCGCTACTTACTTTCTTTTCCTTTCTCTTTGTTTTTAAGCTGTTGTAGTTTCTGTTCTCTGTGCTGTTTCTCCAACTCTTGCTCCTGCCGATGCTGTTCTAACTTCCTCTGATGCTCCAAGAGCTCCTGCTGATGTTTCATCGCCAGAATCTCCTGTTGCTGCTGTTGGGCCAGGAAAGGGGGGTGGGGGTGGTCATAATTGTTTACCTTTTCAACACCTCAGTAGCCATCTTCTAAGCAAATGGATATAGTGGGTGAAGTGAATCAACTGATGTGTAAACTTTTTAAAAATCAGAATGGAACCCGTAGAAAAGAACAGGGAATTGAAGGCTTGTCACTGTGCACTAAATGCTTCAGAAATTACATTTGACAGTGTTTTCACAACCCAGGTGTACCTTCAACAAGAAGATACTTATTAACAGACACACCATAGTTAGATGCATTTAAGAGTTCAAAATAAAATGGTTTTAGAACAAACTATATTATAACATTTTCACAATGACACAAGACAACAGAAATCTAGTGGGGCAAGAGACCATGTGTATTTGAGGATACCACTTTAACAATGCCCTGGACACATACAAGTTTTGGTATTATACAGAAAGCTGAATAGCATAACTGGAATAAAGAAAGTGTGCACACTCTGCTAGTGTCTGGAACTTCACAAAACCCCATTCCACCTGGCTTTAAATGAAATGGATCAGGTAGTGATTACAGCAGTTCCCTGAGGGAAGAACAAAAAATGGTTGGCCTATTCGTACTCTTGTGCATTAAAAGAAACCCCAGGACAGTTTTGTGAGAGAAAATATGTAGCCCTCATACATGTTTTTAATGCTCAGTTGTCAAGCACATAACACAAAAAGAGCCTTTGCATATAGGTTGGTTTTACCATCTCTCCGATTATTTATTACTAGTGGGAACCTGCAAAAAACTTGCAGGGCAGCTATTTCATTCCCCCCACCCTTTGTTTCCTCTCCTATCCCACTACCTCTCACACTCTTCCTTCCTTTTCTTACTCTCTCTCTTCCATGTATGTCACCTTGTCTCTCTTTCTGCCCCCTCATCACTCTTTCTGTCTCCCCACCTCATCGTTCTTTCTCTCTCTTTCTGCTCCACACCCCATCAACTCTCTCTTTCTGCCCTGTCACTCTACCAGCCTCCCACCTGCTCCCCTCCCCCTGTACAGCAGCAGCAGTGGTGGCGGTGGTCCCAGACACCCCCAGCCCCCCCAGCAGCAATGGCAACTCTCCAGGAATCATAACAGATCTCCCAAACTACAGAGAACAATTCCCCTTAGGGTTGCCAGCTCCAGGATGGGAAATTCCTGAAGCTTTGGGAGTGGAGCCTTGGAACAGTGAGGCTTGAGAGAAGCAATCTCAGCACGGTATAATGCCGTAGCCTCCACCCTCCAAAGCAGCCATATTATCTGGGGGAAACTGATATCTCTCCTGGAAAAGAGTTGTAATTCTGGGTGAGCTCCAGCCCTCACCTGGGGGTTGGCAATGGTAGCTCTCATGGAGGAAGTGGCTGGTTTGGAGGGTGGAGTCTATGGCATTATACTGGTCTGATGTTCCTCCCCTCCCCAAACCCTACTCTCCCCAGGCTCCACCCCTCAAATGTCCAGGAATTTCCCAACCTGGAGCTGGCAACCATATTTCCTTCCCATCGAAGAGCCAACCTACCTTTATTTGCCCCTCTGTCTTCAGCTTTCCATCTCCACCCCCTCCCCCACAGCCTCTATCTAGAAAAACTTGTCTTTCTCCACAGTGGAGACCAAAGCAGCTTACATTATTCTCACCTAATTTTTATCTCCACAACAACCCTGTGAGGTAGGTTAGTCTGAAAGTCCGTGACAGATCCAAAATCACCCAGTCAGCTTTCATGACAAGATGAGGATCTGAGCCTGGAGCTCGCAGACCCTACTCTGAAGCTCTAACCACTGCACCACATTGGGTTGTTGAACAGTAGCAAGCAGCCAAGCCCAGTCAAGTCATGCAAGTCAGGTGGTATCAAGTCACCCAGAAGGTGCTGCCAGGACTAGGGTTGCCAACCTCCAGGGGGGGCCTTGAGGTCCCCCAGAATTACAACTCAAATCTAGACAACAGAGATCTGTAACCTTGGAGAAAATGGCTGTTTAGAGGGTGGACTCTGCGGCATTATACCCAACTGAGGCCTATCCCCTCCCCCTCATCGGACTCCACCACAAAATCTCTAGGAATTTTCCAACCTAGACCTGGCAACCCTTGTCAGGCCTGGCTCCAAGGATCCCTCCCTCAAAGGCCAAAATAGGCCTTGAAGGGTCCCTTCCCCCTTCCCCTGCCTTTTACTGACTGAACTAAGCTTGGCATACTATGGTTGCCTAGTAACAGCCACTGAGGGAATCATTTTTTAAAGCTATGGGAGCTCCTTTTATCATTTTCAGCTTTTTAAAGCTGCCTAGTGTTTTTGGTGGGTTTTTTTTTAGATTTCACATTTTTTAATGTTTTTTGCAAACCTAGGGTCATTTTCAGGTCTGTAGAAAGATTTGTCTTGCCTGTTCACAGCTCCAGTCACTGGATTTAAATATCCAAAGATAGCCTGACTTCACTATTAGAATAGAAGACTAAGAGGAAGAAGCAGCAGCACATTTTACATCCCAGCCATCATCCAAAGAGTTTAGGATGGTATACATTTTCTGCCCTCCTCCATTTTATCATCACAAATGCCCTGTACGATAGGTTAGGCTGAGACACTGTGAATGGGCCAAGGTTACCCAGCGAGCTTCTTGGAAGAGTGAGGATTCAAACCTGGGTCTCCCAGATCCTAGTACAACATTTTAACCATGACACCAGCTCTAATTAGGACTAAAAACTCCCAGCCATGGCTTAAATATTAGGCAAGCTTGAACCCTGCAGGAATTCTTTATAAAAATTAAGCCAACCTTGATACATTCAACTGCCAATTTCCAATCTCATTCAGTATCAAAATCACATTTTTCTAAGCTCATCTCACGGTACTTGCTCAGAAGTAGTCTGTGTATCTTCAGCTGAGCTTCCGACAGATAGAATTATCTTTTTGTTTCTTTATGATGCAGTTATGAGCCTTTTCATTTTGCCCACTTCCCTGATAGGTTTCTTTCTTTTACATGATTTTTATGGCATTTTATACCACATAAATGCAAAAATAACATTAAGGTATAAAAGAAAAAAACCTCACACAATGGAACAGGAAATGGTACAAAAATACACTCAATGGAGGAAAAAACCCTGAAATTATCACACTCTGAGTAAAAACTCTGAGTAAAAACAGTGGGGCTATAAAATTTGGGGAAACTTACTCAACCAGCCATGGCTGTCAATGCTTGAGAAGTACCAGTCGCATCATTATTCTGCCCAAATAATTTCAAGATAATCTCTCATTTCCTCCTTTTATCCTCACAACAATCCTGTGAAGTAGGTTAGATTGGCTAAAGTGTGACTGACCCAAGGTCACCACGCAAGCTTCATGATGCTGTGAGATTCAAAACCAGGTTTCCCAGATCCTAGCACTCCTAACCACCATGCAACATTATTCACAACTTCTTAAAAACAACACCACTGGTGAGCATATCAGAATCAGCCACCAATTAGCACCATAAACGATTTCTGAACCACTGAACCACTGCCTGTTTCAGGTACTTTATACCCAAATACCTAAAGGATCGAACTTGCTCAATTTCCCTCCCATAAATTTTCCACAGGGTGCGCTTCCACACCCTGGAGAAAACTAGCATTTTTGTTTTTTCATAATTAATTATAAGAGAGTTTTGTTTACAATAGGAGGAAAACATCGCTAGGGCATGTTTAAGTCCTATTCTAGTGGTAGAAAGAACCACAGTGTCATCTGCATACAGTAAAATAGGTATAGGTAGAGAATTCAGACTAAACACCTTCTTTCGAAACTGAACTGGATGACATCCTGCAACCTTCCTGGAAGAGAGCAGATTGGTTTTGTAACTAACCACTCTATTCTTGATCACTGCATAGTACTATCTTATTTAGCAGAGAAATATCTCCGCTTCCCTAGAGGCAAATTTTATGCTGCCTTTATCGATCTCCAAAAGGTTTTTGACTCTGTTGATAGGCAAATCTTATGGGATAAATTAAATAGGATGACTATAGACCACCGACTACTCTTTTTAATATGTGAACTCCACCAATCGAATACTTGTCAAGTTAGGTATGGCAAGAAGGGCCTTTTAACTCATAAAATATCTGTTTCAAAGGGCGTTAAGCAGGAATGTGTATTAGCTCCAGCTTTGTTTAATCTTTTCCTATCTGACCTCCCTACACATCTTGCAGCAATAGGTACTTTATAAAGTGTGGCCAAAGGTGCAAGCTCTTGGGCATGAGCAAAAAGGGTGGGTGATCTTTTGGGTTCTAGCCTGTGGTTCGCAGCCTGACTTCAATCAAGTCAACCAATGATTCCAGGACAGCCTGAGATGCACTTTTTCTGCTTTTTTTGTTTTATTTGCTATGCACTGGTTTACTTATATATTTTTCTTGTTTTAAGCCACTGGATCCTTTTTGGAGAAAAGCAGGATATGAATGGTAATAAATACATAGATAGGTTCAAGCCATTTACCATGAATCAATCATTGCTTAGAAATTCCATCCCTAAGTTAACAGCCCCTACTTTTGCTACTCAGGTTTTAAGTTATATCACTCACCTTTACATGTTCATGTAGCTGAGCTTCATGCTGACGAGACAGCTGATCATGTTGTCTCTGGAATTCTGCTATAAGGATCTGTCTCTGGATCTGCTGTTTTTGTTTGAGGGCCAGAAGTTCCTGTTGGAGCTGCTGTTCTCGTAACGTAGGTTCTGCCACTGGCATGGAGAACTGATGGTCCAAGTGGAGATCCATGGGGACTACAGATGGTGCAACTTGCAAAGGTAGTGCTGTGGTCACATCAACTGTAAAATGAAAACAAAAAGGTCAATCCACAATCAATAGTGAGTTGGTTGAAACAAGAATACCACATTGTAACTCAGGATTAGAAGGCATTTTGGAATGGAGGTGACAGTGCATGCCATGTGAAAAGCTCCAGAATGAAGTCTGTTTTCTCAAGAGAGAAGAAGTGCTGTTTGTTTTGATAAACTGCAAACATGCTCACAGATAAACAAGGATTACACATTACATTTTCCTGTTTCTCATGTCAAGACTGGTCTCTGTACAAAGAGAAAAGGATCAGACATTCCACTCACAATATCAGTACTTTCTTAAGCACGTTGATTTTTAAAGTACTTTTAATAAAAACTGAAGTTGCAATTTCTAACTGGTAGATTAACCCACAAAAATTCTAGTCAAGTAATATCAATCAGTAAACAACACAATGCATGTGCAAGCTTTTAACCCTTGATAACTCTTCATCATGCTGAATGTTAAATTACCGGAGTATGGTTTATATCAGAATGCACCACTGACATGATGGGAACAAGAAGCAAAAAGACTTGGAGGCAACACAAACTGAAAACATTACTGATAGTCATCCCCCCCCCACACACACATACTTTTTAATACCTAGCCTCATAGAGTTCTGAAGATCTAGAAAACTTTTACATTGTGCTGTGTTGTTATGTTTACTCTTAATTAAAGGTACTATGTGGCTTCTGTTTTTGGATTTTACTATGGACCAATGCGGCTACCCTTGCTCAACTTTTAAAAAAAATTTATTTATTTATTTATTTATTTATTTCAACTTTCTATCCCGCTCACCCCCCTAAGGGGCTCTGAGCGGCTTACAATTCTAATTCCGGAAAATCCTAATCTAGGGCCACATGTATGTTGGTCTAATAGCATTTTTTACTTTACAGACAGCATGCTTGATAATAGCAGTATATGGAGATAACATCCAGATCAGCCCTACTGCCTCTCTACCAGTTTATTTACAGAGAACTAGATATATTGATGACAAGAGAGGGGGGGAACTTGGGGGGAAACGGAAAAAAATGGCAGTTTCATTCTTTCACTCTCGTTTTTACCAGGCAGGTTGAAGAGAAAATTAACTAGCAAGTTGGTTCTACCTATTCTGCATGTCTTTTTTCTCAGAATGTATTTGTACATTTTTGATAAAACAATGTCCTTCCTATCCTTTAAAAAACCCTTTTTACACTGTTATGCTACCTCTCAGCGGATTTAATTGAGAGTAGGCCTTGACATACTTTTAGCGTGCTGTTTTAAGTCTAAAAAATTGTTATTAGGCCTTTATATCTCATCCTCTGGAATGTATTTTTATTTTGTGTTCCAGTTTCATCTTTGGTATTTAATATTGTGTTCCTTAAAAAATGTATTGGTGTTAACTTTTTGCTTCCCCCCACCTTGTTTTTTAAATTTGCCATGAATGCAGCCCTATTGTTTTCCTTTTCTGCTTGAAGTTATATGATCATGAAAATAACTTTGTAAAGTAGCTTTGGCTATCTGGATATTACAATGCCAGCAATGTATTTAATTCCATTGATTTCCCCCCAAAATACATACATAACTGGACAAGTCCACCATGCATTAGTATAACTTGCTACGTTTTCTGGATTTTCATGCATGTATTTATATATATGCAATATTTTCAGCATTTATCAAGATTATAAATGTATCAGGTTTATCTTAAGAACATAAGAGAAGCCAATGAAGGATCAGGCCAATGGCCCATCCA